CCCCCCCCCCCCAATCCAACACCACTCAGGGGACAGATTTATTAAGGGAGGTTGAAAATGTTCCAGAGCTAGTGGTCACATTAGCTTGTCTTTGGTCCACTCCCCTGAGAGTCGCTCTCTGTCTGGACTTACTGTGGGGAGAATTGGGCCCAGGTGTTCTAGTGGGGGTGGCATTGCTACTAGTCCTCATCCCTGTCAACTCTGCAGTAGAGCGCAAAGCCAAACAGCTTCAGGTTAGTAAGGCCAGTCTGCTGAAGAATTCCTTGGGAGTTTGCATGTGAAAAATAAGAGATGAAACATGTTCAGTGTATTTCTGTAAATGTTCTGATGCTGATATGTTTTATAATCTTTGTTTGCTGTTCCTCAGAGAACTCAGCTGATCATCAGGGAAAGGAGTGAACAACTCATCAAGGAAATGTTGCATAAATACCAGGTCTTTTCTGTTCTTTTTTCTGTTCTTTTAGGATGGCTCAGTCACGTATCTGAGCATGAGCTGATTTAGATTAGAGGAATATTTCCTGCCTTAAGGACAAAAAAAAGTCAAGCTCAGTTCTTGCTTGAATGACTAATTTTTATTTATCTCAGCAATTATCCAACAACAGCATTCCAATCAATTCCCGATTGACAAAATCAAGTCCTGCTCTGCACTTTTTCTCATTTGAGAAGCCGTTGTGCTTGGATGTCAGTATAGGGTAAAAAAAGACAATTGCAACTTAGGTTTTTTGGTGATTTAAAAAAACAAAAAAAACAATAGCATCTCTTTGACAGTAATGGTTTTATTTTTGTGATTTCACTTGTTCAATGTAAAGTTCCATGTTGGCTGTCCACATACAAGGCATTTTTATGCATACTTTCTTCAATGCCTAATTAGAAATCATAGAAAATTGTTTTATTTTGTATTTCTTTAATTATGAAAATGTTAATGTCTTTTAAATTACATCATGTTGTATTACAGCAAAAACAGAAGTGTCAAATTAAACAGTTTGAAACAAATGAAACCTTGTCGAAAAATAAAAAAATGTAGGGTGTAGACTTGGTTTAGTCAATCAGTTGTTGATTGGATGCAGACAGATATGTTTACAATAAGATCAATAACATGCATTTAGGTGAATTTTAAGGTGAACCATCCCGACTTTAATCTGTTTTGTTTAGGCCCTGAAGTTTCTCACATGGGAGTCTTGGTTCCATCAAAGAGTTACAGAGTCACGGGCCAGGGAGCTGGAGATGCTCAGAATTCTGGGATATCTGACAGCATTCTCTATGCTCAACTCTATCTGTATGCCTTTCCTGGTGAGTGCTTGATATTCAGAACAAATACCTTCATGAAAAAACTGACACAGCTTCACCAGGTTCATCAGCAAGATGGGCTGACCATCAGGTTTTTTTCTAGTGCTACTAGTTATCTTACTATATAATATAGTCAAGAAACCTTGTTGGTTAGTGTTTAGATATTCCATATCCTTACTAAAATTCTGTTTTTTACTTCCTACTGCTAAACTACCCTCTGTGACTTTGACTTCAAATTACCTTGCCTCTCTTCTCCAGATGCACAGGGGCTTACTAACTAAACAAATCCACAGAGCTCTGAGATTAAAACCCAAATCAAAGTCTATCATAGATTACAACCTGAGATCAGAACATTTTGGTCCCCATCATTCCACGCTTTCATCAGAATGGACGTGGCCTGTCACTGGACAGATGAACTTAATATCTTCTTTGACCCATATTTCCCATACTCTTTATCTTTCTGTGCAGGTTGGTTTCTCTAGTATCGGTGTGTTTGTGCTGGTGGATGATGGGAATGTTCTCACACCGTCTCGGATCTTTACATCCCTCTGTTTCTTCAGATTGCTCCGCCCACCTCTGCTGGAGCTCCTTGGGCTCTTCTGTGTTCTCAAGCAGGTAGAACGCATGTGACAACATCAAAACAAACTTTATTGAAGATCTTAAATCTAAAGTTTCTTAGTATTTTATTAATATTTTTGTTCAAATTAATTAATCTCAGCATATTTTATGCAGGCACAGCAGTCTCTTTGCCATCTGGAGAAGAGCTTTCTTGGAAAGGATTTGGGCACCACTCAGTTAGTTACTACAAAAGGTAATGTCACCATATATGACAACTCACTGATGCATGGAGAAACAAGTTTTTTTTTTTTGGCTGTAAAGCTGTAAAGTGTTACCCGGTCATGTGTTACAGAAGAGCTTCCATCTGATGGCTTCCAACAGCGATGTGACCGGTAAGTTTTTATTTGTTTATTTGTATTTTATAACATATATATTTATTGTTTTATAATGTATTGTAATTAATCTATTGAACACCCTCATGTAAACACTTAGTCTGCTAAATTTTCATGAAGAAGTCTCATATGCTCAAAACAGTAAACCAATCATATTATGAAATATTACAATTTAAAATAACTGTTTTTAATTTCAATATATTTTTAAAATATAATTTATTTCTTTTATCAAATCTGAAATTTCAGCCAGCATAATAGAAATACAAATGTTTGTGTGCATGTTATGTTATCCTCTGACATTTGATTAGGCAGAGTCCAGAACATTGGGTAAAACGCAGTGCGTGACCTGAACCGTCAGTCTTGGTTGTCCAGTACAGATCCAGCATTAATATATTACAATTGCTTTAATCCAAGACGAACATCAGTGCATTTAAGAGCATTAGCAGTGCTTCTGATTTTAATATCTTTCTGATCCCCTTGAGAGAATGTATCATGCTTTTCTTACACTGTGTTCTATTCTATGTACTAGAGTGGCCTTTGTGGTTCAGTCATGAAGGTTAGTGCAGGTTAATAAAGGAAGATATGCACAGAATCAGAGGGATTGCTGGTCACAGGATGATGGGGACCAGTAAAATCTCATGGGAAAGACTGAACAGGGCTGCCGACGTTTTCTTTTTATCCCACATTAATGATCTGTTGTTAATCCAACCTGCTTGTTGTTCTGATGCTTGCACTGCACTTTTACCTCAAGTACACTGTATCTTTATAGTCTAAATTTTTTTGATGTATTGATTTTTACAGGTGTAAAGATAAGCACAGTCATTCTGATGAGAAAAGTGATCACTATCTATCCCAAAAAGTATGTACCAAAAATTATTTTAACTGATTTTAAATTATTATAACTTTAAAAAAATATATAATTAGAATTGTCATCATTTAATCACCCTTATGTCTTTCAAAATCTTTAAGAATAATACAAAATGTATTTATAGAAGAATGTCTGAGCTGCTGTTTCCACAAAATATATATATTTTATATGGGAAAATATGCTGTTTCCACATACACTGTTAAGATTTTTAGTGAAAATCAAATTAAAATTATGAAACAGTAAATTTTGTGTAATGATGTGGTTTTGTAATTTTAGGGCAGTGGAAAGGCCCGCATGCTGTATTTGAGGGCTTTCGGCTGGCACTGGCTGGCAGTTTCCTCGCTTGCCTACCTGTCTGTGTGTGCTGTTAGTTTAGCACAAGATGGCATCCTGAGTGTGTGGACGGGTGAAGCCAAAGAAGTTCAAGGCCTGGAAGGGTGGAGAGAGCTCAGAAACTCACGACTGTCTGCGTACGCACTGCTCGGACTCCTGCAAGGTTATTGTCAACCTGTGACTTCTTATTTGAGAATGTGTATTTGTTAACTTATATGCTCTTGTATTGCAGCCTTCCTCGTGTGCTGTGCCGCCTACTGTCTGACCTGCGCCTCTCTCAGGGCTTCTCATACACTGCACTCAAAGCTTCTGTCAGATGTTCTTCACATGCCTATGCATTCCCAGAAGACTGACATGAGATGGCTACTGCAAGTATTCACTCAGGTGAGTGTTGTCCTCCAGGAGGCGGTGTGGAGCATAGTTCAAAACAAGTGAACTGAAAAAAGGCCTGTTTGATTCCAACATGTAGCAGGTCATCACTGTTGCGCCCTTGAGGAAGTATATATATTATATAACAGATGTAAGCAAATATGATGGAAAACCAAGATAGATCTTCCTTAATCCCGTTTTAACAAAACCAAACATTGTGATCTCATGTTGGATTAGGATATGCAGGTGATTGATGAAGAGCTGCCCAAACATTTGCACAGCTGGTTGAAGAGTCTTTTGGACATATTGAGCACCATCACTCTGATCAGCTTCATCATGCCAGTTTTCAGCCTAGCTGTCTGCCCGCTGATAATCCTCTTTCTCCGTATTCAGGTTCGTCAGTTTTCCCAGAATATATTGACCTGAAGGTTTATACATAAGCAAATCACCAGTTAACATCAAGAAGCATTTACAAATGGTTATTATACAGGTATTAACATTTCTTTTTCTTCTTTCAGTCACGCTTTTCTTCAACCCACAGTCATATCAGACACATGGAGGCAAACCCAGTTGCTTCTCTGGAGTGTGTGACGCAGTGTGTTGAAGCTCCACTTTCTGGGCCAAAACATAGGAAGGCGTGTCTGACACACTGCCTCCAAGCCTTAAATCAAAACCTGCTGGTCAAGTACAACAAAATCAACACAGAAAGGTTAAAAAAAATTTTGTTTATTACATTTTGTTTATGCTCGGATATGCTCGTTATGTGAAGGATTCTGAGAGGTCCACTTGTTGTGAACTGATTAAAAAAATTATAAATGAAAAATAAAATGAACAAAAAGTACCAACATTGAAATAAATCACCTAGTAAATCATCAATGAATTTAATGATTAACCTTCTATTGTCTCACTTCAATAACGTAACCAAAGTGTGTGTGTGTACAGGTGCATCTCAATAAATTAGAATGTCGTGGAAAAGTTCATTTATTTCAGTAATTCAACTCAAATTGTGAAACTCGTGTATTAAATAAATTCAATGCACACAGATTGAAGTAGTTTAAGTCTTTGGTTCTTTTAATTGTGATGATTTTGGTTCACATTTAACAAAAACCCACCAATTCACTATCTCAACTAATTAGAATATGGTGACATGCCAATCAGCTAATCAACTCAAAACACCTGCAAAGGTTTCCTGAGCCTTCAAAATGGTCTCTCAGTTTGGTTCACTAGGCTACACAATCATGGGGAAGACTGCTGATCTGACAGTTGTCCAGAAGACAATCATTGACACCCTTCACAAGGAGGGTAAGCCACAAACATTCATTGTCAAAGAAGCTGGCTGTTCACAGAGTGCTGTATCCAAGTATGTTAACAGAAAGTTGAGTGGAAGGAAAAGGTGTGGAAGAAAAAGATGCACAACCAACCGAGAGAACTGCAGCCTTATGAGGATTGTCAAGCAAAATCGATTCAAGAATTTGAGTGAACTTCACAAGGAATGGACTGAGGCTGGGGTCAAGGCATCAAGAGCCACCACACACAGACGTGTCAAGGAATTTGGCTACAGTTGTCGTATTCCTCTTGTTAAGCCACTCCTGAACCACAGACAACGTCAGAGGCGTCTTACCTGGGCTAAGGAGAAGAAGAACTGGACTGTTGCCCAGTGGTCCAAAGTCCTTTTTTCAGATGAGAGCAAGTTTTGTATTTCATTTGGAAACCAAGGTCCTAGAGTCTGGAGGAAGGGTGGAGAAGCTCATAGCCCAAGTTGCTTGAAGTCCAGTGTTAAGTTTCCACAGTCTGTGATGATTTGGGGTGCAATGTCATCTGCTGGTGTTGGTCCATTGTGTTTTTTGAAAACCAACGTCACTGCACCCGTTTACCAATAAATTTTGGAGCACTTCATGCTTCCTTCTGCTGATCAGCTTTTTGAAGATGCTGATTTCATTTTCCAGCAGGATTTGGCACCTGCCCACACTGCCAAAAGCATCAAAAGTTGGTTAAATGACCATGGTGTTGGTGTGCTTGACTGGCCAGCAAACTCACCAGACCTGAACCCCATAGAGAATCTATGGGGTATTGTCAAGAGGAAAATGAGAAACAAGAGACCAAAAAATGCAGATGAGCTGAAGGCCACTGTCAAAGAAACCTGGGCTTCCATACCACCTCAGCAGTGCCACAAACTGATCCCCTCCATGCCACGCCGAATTGAGGCGGTAATTAAAGCAAAAGGAGCCCCTACCATGTATTGAGTACATGTACAGTAAATGGACATACTTTCCAGAAGGCCAACAATTCATTAAAAATGTTTTTTTTTATTGGTCTTATGGAGTATTCTAATTTGTTGAGATAGTGAGTTGGTGGGTTTTTGTTAAATGTGAGCCAAAATCATCACAATTAAAAGAACCAAAGACTTAAACTACTTCAGTCTGTGTGCATTGAATTTATTTAATACACGAGTTTCACAATTTGAGTTGAATTACTGAAATAAATGAACTTTTCCACGACATTCTAATTTATTGAGATGCACCTGTATATTTCTGGGGCTTCTTATAGCTAATAAATTAGATGATTTTTTTAAAGCAGAATTATTGGCACTGATGTTTGTACACAAATTGAAGCAAAAAAGGTTGGTTGCTGAAAACAGGATAAGAGATTTGGCCTTGCTCTGCAAGTTTTGTTTTGGCCTGCCTCCTGAACTACAGTACACTAGGGGGCGCCATTCAAGTGTAATACACATCTGTGATTGATTATATTATAGCTTTTGCAAGAGTTGTCTTGTATTTTCAAGCCAATAAAATATTGTACATATTTTTATATTTAAAAATATGTTATTAATATACACTGTAAAGATCTACTAAACATATCAAATAAACATGTCACATTTATTGCAACATATACAGCAGCTTTGATTAGTGTGATTTATGACCTGTGTGCAGTCGGGCTGCGTTGCGGTTAGATGGCATTGCTGGGATTGTGCTGTTCCTGGTCAGTCTGATTCTGCTGGAGACTGAACCGGACGCAGTGCTTGTGGTTCTGGCATTGATCTGTGCCTTCAATGTAAGTTCATCTGTTCTGATACCTAACCTAAGTTTTGTTTGATTAATTCATAATGATTATGAAAACATTTTGTTACAGATCAAAAAAGCTGTTCACCGATACCCTCAGGCTGCCTCTGATATCAGCATGGACATGCTGAGCATGCAAAACCTTTGTGAATTTGCCAAAGTGGAGAAGGAGGTACAGGGTAACATAATACTTACTTAACAAGTAAATACTTCTCTTTGTGCTTGCCGGCTCACACCGCTCCACACCTAACCCTACATGGTCAGATTCATTGTGTACTAAATTCCAAAGAGGATGCCTTGTCACCTTTAAGTGTCACTGGATGTCATTTCCTCTCCATGGAAATGGACTGAGCCACCTGCCCCATTTTACCTTAGGCAGCATGGGAAAAATCCTACAGACCACCCAATGACTGGCCCCAGCATGGAGAGGTGAAGTTCAGGAACTATGAGTCTGAAGCCTCCTCTAATGGCACACCAGCTCTTAGAGGAATTAATCTCACCATTCTAAAAGAGGAAAAGGTACTTTGAATGTTTGTTTGTTTTCTTGCCAGCGATTTACATACTGAAAATAATTAAGTAGTAATTTTATTTATGTATTTATTTATAACCCTAAGACTTCCATACTGATAATAAATAAGTTAATGAATCTATTTATATTAATATTCAATTTATTTATTTATTTATAAGCCTAATCAGTAAATTAATTACTAATTAATATCAATATTTAATTAATTTTATTTATAAGCCTACGATTTTTATACTAATAATAATCAATATGTATTTTATTTATTTTTTATTATTATTTATTCATGTTAATCTCAAATGTACAAATAAATAAATAATATTAATCATTCATTTATATTTGTTAATTTATTATTATTATTATTAATAATAATAATAATCATTTTACTAATATTTTACTTTCATTGTTATTAGGGTTACATTTCTATTAGATAATATATTCATTTTAAATAATTTATTTAAAATTCACTGATTATACTTATGTATTTATTTTATTTTCCCGCTGAATATATCCGTATTTAAACCTCAGGGTGGTTTTTGTTTGTTTGCATGTGTATAGATTGGGCTCGTAAGCAGAGGGAAGACCGACACCGATGGTTTGGTTAGCAGTCTGTTCCGGTCAGTGGAGGCCAGGAGCGGCGCTGTGCTGATTGACGATATAAACATCGCCCGCATGGGTCTACGTGACCTTCGTAGCCGTCTGCAAATCATTTCTCAGGTTAGTCGAACAATTTTATATTTGCATACAAGAGAATGATGTCGATCTAGCTCAATCCAGCCACAGCAAAACCGATCAAAGACTGGAGGCGAAGGAGTGTTGACAGGTAACAGAACTATTTCACTGGGTGTGGTAGAAGGAATGCTCTCCAATATTGTGTGTAATGCAAAACTAGCTTTACCCAGGCTCCGCCAGTAACAAGCATTATCCAGTTATTGAAGTCACTAATGAGTTATGGTGTCCCGTGTGTTACAGGTTCCCGTACTGTTCTCTGGTCCCTTGAGGGCTAACCTGGACCCGTTCACTCAGCATACTGATGCACAGGTGTGGTTGGCTCTGGAGCTCTGCCATCTGAAGGAGCGTGTTCGACTATTGCCTGCTCAGCTGCTGCACCCTGTACAGAGGACCTCCCTCGCTTTCAGGTGTGTGGGAATCCAATCTTTGGATTCCTCGGGCCAGTTTGACATGTTTATATACCAGAATATAGTTGATCTTTGTACAGTTATATAAATGGCTAATGTAGAAAATATAGTAGCCTATTGCAGAGATATTCAACTCGGTCAATTTTTTTTTCTTTTTTCAAATTTTCTTAATCATAACATTAATTTTTATATAAAATTTCAAAAATATGCATTATAAATCATCAAGTTGGGTACCATAATATTTTGTAAAAGTAAGAAATAATAAAGCCCCAATAGCCAAACAAATTATACAAAACAGGAGCTTTGTCTAATATAAAGTCGATATAATATAATACACAATATCAAATATAAAGTCGGGTCCAGCCTGGGTCGTGCCCTGGTCGATTAGTATATAAAATACATAAAGTTTTAAAAATAAAATAAAAAAATATATATATTGCATATTTATTTTTATATATAAATATAAATAAAACATTTAATTAATACATTCAAAATACAGGATCACAAATAACTGAAAAAAAAATTACAAGTTTCTTATTTGATTATAAAATAAATCAAGTTCAATTAAGTGAAATTTGCAGACTGGGCAAACCAATGTAATTGAGCCGATTCATTGTTTCCCACTATTTGATTTTAAGGCTGCTTATTTTGTGTTAAAAATTGTGACCAATCTGGGTCAAGTCCTGGTCAATTAATAAACAAGTAAATAAAAATCTATTCAACTGAAAAAAAAAAAGTTAAATATTAAATAATCTGTTAAATATAAAATACTTTATTTATAATTTTCACACAAATAAAAATCAATAAAACATTTAATAAATTCAAAAAACAGAATCACACAGATTACAAGTTTCTCATTTGATTATTAAAAATTTTATTAAGTTCTATTAAGTGAATTTTGCAGATTAGACAAACATAAATAATTGAGCCGATTCATTGTTTCCCATAATTGGTTATAAAGGCTGCTTATTGTGCATGTAGAACGAACTGCAGCGTGAAATGATTCACGTTCCTGCTGGAATCAATCATGAGTCCAGATCTGGACCGTGGCTCTGTTTTATTACCTCATGAAACAATATAGTTTTCTCTATGGCAACCTTTATGTACTGGCACAACAAACAAGTGGTTGTTATGGGTTAAATATTTCTGTTTTTGTGTTGTGAAAGCTTTGGCCAGAGGAGGCTGCTCTGTTTGGCCAGAGCCCTGCTTGCAAGGGTCAGAATCCTGCTTGTGGAAGAGGCCCTTCCTCGTGTGGACCTAGAAACAGAGGAGCTGGTCCGACAGTTGATCCACACAGAGTTTAAACACTGCACTGTACTGTGGCTCACTCAGAACCCGCTCAATGTCATGCACACTGACAGGTCAGGAGCAACAATCTTTTATATAACAAGTGACTCATCCTGTCATTAAATGTCAAGTATTCCAGTAAGGTATTTATGACCTTTTGTTACTCCTTCAGGGTGCTGGTTTTGAATAAGGGACAAGCTGTGAACTTTGACTCCCCTTCCACTCTCCTCCAGCAGGGGCCGCTGTTCAGTCAGTGAGACGGGACCTGCTCTTACATCCAATTATTATTCTGTTATCATTTACTCATTTCTTGTTGACCAAATATTTAAGATATTAATTTTACATCATACGTTAGGTTCTCTAAAGCACAGTTTATTCACACATTAATTAATGAAGGTTTTGGACAGATTATACTGAATAAATGATTAAATAAAAAAGTGATAAGTGGAACACAAACAGATTTTGAAATATTCTAGAAAATTGTGGGGGTTATTTTAAATGTATTTTCCATTTTATAATTTATTAATAATTTATTTAATTTGATCATGTAATTATAATATAGTAAAAAAAAATGTATTACAATAATATGTTTGCCACTTGGTTAAAATAAGTAATAATAAAAAATTGTTTAATGTCATGCATAAGCACACAAACATGCCAGTTTACAATGTTTACAAACTTGAGTTTCAAGATACCTTATACAGGTGCATCTCAATAAATTAGAATGTCGTGGAAAAGTTCATTTATTTCAGTAATTCAACTCAAATTGTGAAACTCATGTATTAAATAAATTCAATGCACACAGACTGAAGTAGTTTAAGTCTTTGGTTCTTTTAATTAAACCTGGGCTTCCATACCACGTCAGCAGTGCCACAAACTGATCACCTCCATGCCATGCCGAGTTGAGGCAGTAATTAAAGCAAAAGGAGCCCCTACCATGTATTGAGTACATGTACAGTAAATGAACATACTTTCCAGAAGGCTAACAATTCACTAAAAATGTTTTTTTTGTTGGTCTTATGAAGTATTCTAATTTGTTGAGATAGTGAATTGGTGGGTTTTTGTTAAATGTGAGCCAAAATCATCACAATTAAAAGAACCAAAGACTTAAACTACTTCAGTCTGTGTGCACTGAATTTATTTAATACACGAGTTTCACAATTTGAGTTGAATTACTGAAATAAACGGACTTTTCCACGACATTCTAATTTATTGAGATGCACCTGTATATCTGTGCTGTTTAAACAGGGCTGTCTGTTTTGACTGAATCACTTTTCTTTCAGCTGATGTCAGATCAGAGTTTGATATTTTTGACACTTTTGATACTCTTTTGCCAGAGTTTTACAAGAAGTAGAATATGCATATGGAAAGTACACCTGCAATATGATAAATAATAAGAAGCAAGCAGCATGTCTTCCTTAAGGGCTGTTTGTGGTTATGCACAGCGGCCGTTTGAGCTGTTTGTTGACACATTCTCATCTTCTCCATTTCCTTTGCTGTTATTTTCAGTTAATTGCACATTAGGTTACATGAAGGAGCCGTTTTTTCACAACAGTTTTCCACATTGTAACTGTCTCCACATCTTTCCTCAAGTCATTTCAGAATGTTTGGATGACAGATAAAAACACTTAGTTTTCATTTTGTTGTTATATTTGTTTTTGAAGGCATATTACAACTTATATGGAAATTTCTGAATAAAAAAAATAAATTATATATATATATGTGTGTGTTGCTCTCATTATAGCTACATCATGACTGGGTTTCCCCAGTATTGCATATTGTCTTATGTTCCATTTGTATGTTTCCAGAGTTTCTCTGAACATAAAAAATATGTTTTTGGTTCTAGAAGTAAAAATAGAACAGCCCAAAGTCAGTTATTGCCTCAGCAGCCATATCTGAAGCAACTGCAAACTACATGCACTTGTGAAAAATTGATTGCGACACAAACCTTTCATTTGACTTATAAATAATCCCACTCTACAGCTTCCACCCTCCATCTGAACTCCTCTTCAGATAGCAGATATTGACTGATTTTCTGAGCAGCAGTGCAGATATGAGGGTGGCGATTGCGGTCTTGTGTCTGATGTGGCTGTGCTCGTGTGAGAGCCGCACGCTGGGTCGCTGTGATGTTGTCCGTATCTTCAAGCAAGAGGGACTTGATGGATTCGAGGGATTCTCGCTTGGCAACTGTGGGTACTTTGTTTTTTGGATTTTCAGTACTGACTTGCAGTGTTTGGCATATCTGATTGTATTAACTAAATCTTCAGTAAACATACAATGTATTATAATTATATATTTGATTCCCATTGGTTTTGAACTTAATTTCAACAGATGTGTGCACGGCCTACTGGGAAAGCAGGTTTAAGACCGAAAGAGTGCGTTCAGCTGATACCGGGAAAGACTATGGTGTCTTCCAGATAAACAGTTTCAAATGGTGCGATGATGGCACTCCAGGAGGACAGAACAAGTGCAAAGTTCCCTGTTCAGGTACTTTATTACCTTTTAAATAGATTTCATGTGACCATATTGAACACTACTTGTATTAAAGTGGACTAGTAGTTAAAAATGGACAAAGATTATTTGGATGTTGCTGCCTGTAATTTTGTAAAACATACAGTGGGGTCTGAAACATCTGATTCATAATTGTATTTATAAGTTTTAGAATAAAAAAATTAAATAACAATCAATTGTATTGTATAAATATTTGTTTCAGATGTTATTCTCACAAAACAATTGGTGTAGAAACGGTTTTCACTCAGAAATTGCTAGCAAATTTCACTAATAATTAAAAGGAACATGAAATATTTCAGTAGAAGGACTGAAGTAGTTTTTTCTTGTAAAAAATTTGTTGGTAATCTTTGAAAAATCTTTTTTTTTTTTTTTTACAGTATACTAAATATCATTTACATATTGTAACTTTCACAAGTGTTATGCTGAGAATATAGTTTATAATGAGAAAAATGTGTGTAAAAAAAATCTTTGAACTTTGATATTAAATTTTTGTTTATACATGTTTCCCATCTGATAGATTTGCTTCAGGATGACCTGAAAGCTTCAGTTGAATGTGCAAAGCTCATTGTGAAAACCGATGGACTCAAATCATGGCAAGTATTCATTGCATATATCCTTGGGCACAACAGACAAAGCTTATTTTTCACATTAACAAAGGTTGCTTGTCCCTTTAGAAATTTGGCCTCAAGCTGTGTCTATCACTGCATTATATCTAGTGTATTGATCTGTTGTATATGTGTGTTTTTGACATAATGTAATGTTGATCTTTGTGTCTGCAGGGACACCTGGGATAGTTACTGTAATGGGCGTAAGATGACACGCTGGGTGAAAGGTTGTGAGGAGCGCTAATAAGGCCTTGATTGCCTGCAGGAGATTTAATTATCTATAATGCCCTCAGATTATGTGCTAATGCATTTAAACTCTTGGTTGATGTGACTTTTAAAACTAAAAGACATTGTCATTATTAACATTTGTAACCTTGATCTTGAGATGTGCATTAAAACATCTTCACAAATTGTTAATCATTTGTGCTTTGCAGTGCTTTTCAATCTCACATTTGGCTAAAGCTTACACAGCAGCAAATTGTGACGGATAGTTTGTTTGATACTACTAGATAGTAGCGGTGGGCTTTGATTTAAATAGCTTTTATTAAAAATTGAATAATCTGTCAATTTGAAAACCCAAATTGATTGAACAGTACTCTGAATATTGGACGCATCTCCCTCAACGTCTATGCTCATTATGTGTCTTATATACAATTTCAGGTTAATTAATTCAAACTATATGAACTGCGGACACATCCATATCACTGTAATAAATAAATAAATCTGTGAAATTCATTATCAAAAAAATAGCAGCTGTATTTGCCAGAACATTACCATAAAAATTCGGTAGAATTTTGAGTTTTACAGATTGAACTGAGGCTAAATTTACGGTTAAAAAAACATATAGCCCATTTCATTAACTGATATAATATTTATATACCTTACAAATGTTGTACCTTTATAAAACTCCTAAAAGAAAAACAGGTGGTAATTGAGAAAGCCTTGTAGAAACTCTGAGGAATTATAAAAATCTTATGGTTTTTCACTGTAAACTAATGTGATGTGTTGTTTTTCACTTCCAAAAACTGTAAATTTGTGTTGAAACAATTTTCTCTCAGAAATTGCTAGTAAGTTGCACAATTAATTACAACAAAACAAAATAACACATTGAGTTAAATGTGAAATTTTGACGTAAAAAGACTAAAATAGTAGGCTATTTTCTTGTAAAAGGTACTCCAACAATCTGTTTTATTTACAATGAAAAATCATTTTTACAATGTACTAAATATTGATCATGTATTATTCACTTTTCACTCAAAGTATTATGCTGAGAATATAATTAGCAATGCAAGTGACATGCACACAAATACATAACACCGTTATGGTAACACAACACCAAAATGCAATATTAATATTAATTTAGCAAGGTAAGATGTAACATAAACCCATAATGTACATAACTAAACAGAAAAATCTAAGAATGGTTTTTCACCATAAACTAAGATGACTTGCTTTTCACATATTTTACTGTAAAATTATAATTAAGTATTTCCGCAGTTTTTGTTTGTTTTTTTACCATAGCATTTTTACACTCTTTAACATTAAATGAATTAATGAAGTCCATCCATCACAAAGATTTAAAACTCCACCCGAGTGCAGTTACAAACACTAATTATCATTGCCATAACCCAATTGATTAGTTTTTAATGTCTTTGACATTTAGAAGACAGCTGATTTCTAGCTTGCAGGACGGGATGAGGGTGAACCTCCCCATTTCCATCATAAACTAACCGTATTCCAGTTCTGATAAAGCCATGTGAAGAGCTGTTTGGATCTTGTTCGGGTGGAGAATGAGACGCTTGTGTTGTAGCTCTAATAGGCTAAAATCACCCCCCTCTCCAGATGGGAAAGGGTTTTGTTTCTTTAATTCTACCCTGTGCCTCCAGAGTAGTGATTACAGTCATATCTATAATTACCAGATCCTGAGTGTCACATATTTTACTGTAAAATTATAATTAAGTATTTCCGCAGTTTTTGTTTGTTTTTTTACCATAGCATTTTTACACTCTTTAACATTAAATGAATTAATGAAGTCCATCCATCACAAAGATTTAAAACTCCACCCGAGTGCAGTTACAAACACTAATTATCATTGCCATAACCCAATTGATTAGTTTTTAATGTCTTTGACATTTAGAAGACAGCTGATTTCTAGCTTGCAGGACGGGATGAGGGTGAACCTCCCCATTTCCATCACTAACTAGCCATATTCCAGTTCTAATAGAGCGATGAAGAGCTGTTTGGATCTTGGTCGGGTGGAGAATGAGATGCTTGTGTTGTGTATCTATAATAGGCTAAAATCACCCCCCTCTCCAGATGGGAAAGGGTTTGCTTCTTTAATACTACCCTGTGCCTCCAGAGTAGTGATTACAGTCATATCTATAATTACCAGATCCTG